GGTTTCACCATGTTGGCCAGGCTGGTGTCAAACTCCTGACCTCAGTTGATCACCTGCCTCAGCCTCCCTAAGTGCTGGGATTACAGGCGTGAGCCACTGCGGCCATCCATCTATGGTATTTTTCAAGGACATCAGGCCCACTGGTGTGACCAAGGTACAGATGATCTAAGGTATGGGAAAACATGAGGGCTGCATGCCAGGCCCTGGTCCCTGTGAAGCCCCCACCCTCATCCTCTCACTCCAGAAGAGTGGCACTGCAGGCATAGGGGTACTCAGCTTCCAGGTAATGAGGTGGGCTGGGAAGGGGTTCTCTCTACGGGGGTCTGGGCGTTAGGGGGGACCCAGCCCCACCTTGCTCACTCTGAGGCAGAGCTGCCCCATATCACCCTTGAGGCAGGTACTGTCACACTGTACATTTCCTGGGGGAAGAAACGGATCAAGAAAAGTTAAACTCGCCCAGGGCCGGGGATGGAATCAGAGCTGGAGCTGTGACCTGGAAGCTCATAACCACAATACAGATGAGCCCCGCTGAGGTGGGGGAAGCCTTGGATTCCTGAATTCCAGGCTAGAGCCCCTCCTACAAGAGAAATCGGGAAGGGCGCGTGGAGGTGAAACAGCTCCGACTGGGAAGAATCCAGGTAGTAGTGGGGTGGGGGGAGGTATTTTGAGCAAGCAAAACAGAACAAGAGGGCACAGTGCAGGGGGGTCTGACACCCGAAGACCCCGGTCGTCCTATCATTCCCGAAGGGTTAACACGCTCTCGAAGAAAAGGAAGTGATTCGCCTGAGTAAGAAAGAATGGGGTGGCGCCTCTCCTATTTTTTTTAAAATAGAGGTAGGGTCGCGCTATATTGCCTGGGCTGGCCTCGAACTCCTGGCTTCAAGCAATCCTTTCCCAACTCCGCCTCCTAAAATGCTGGCATTACAGCCCTGAGGCAGCGCGCCCGGCCCAGCGCCCCGCCTCAAAACAAGGTATTACTTCTGCTCCAAACAAAGATGGGCCAGCGAACTGGAGCAGGCGAAACATCCGCCCGGAAGGCCACTTGAAGGCACTTCCGCCCTCTCTTAACATGGCGCCGGCGGAAGGGGCGGGGTAGGGCCGGGCGATAATGGCGGCTTCGAGGCTGGAGTTGAACCTGGTGCGGCTACTATCCCGCTGCGAGGCGATGGCAGCGGAGAAACGGGACCCGGACGAGTGGCGCCTGGAGAAGGTGAGGGGATCTCGCACTGCTGCGTAGAGTCCGACTCCCGGGGGGTGGTTCCTAGGGTTGGAAGCCACCTAGCCGGACTCCCCTGCCCCAGTAGCCTCTCGGGCAGCGCCCTTTCCGGTCAGTCCCGCCACGTCTACCTGTAGCTTCCGCCCCCGTCCCTGGGACTCCGCCCCTCCCCCACTGGCCCCCCCTCCTTTGCGCTTGACCCCTCCCATTTGTCGGCCCCGCCCCCCACTCCCATGAGCAGGACGTGGGAACGACCCCCGGGTGACAATCCACTTTTCCTCCCCAGTACGTGGGAGCCCTGGAGGACATGTTGCAGGCCCTGAAGGTCCACGCGAGGTGAGTGCAGGCAGCCTTACCGCTTTCACATCAGCACGTGGCTATTCTGGGACATCCCAGTACCGCTGTCCCTGCTGGGACCCTTCCCTGAGCTGGGGACCATGGACAGGTTTTCTTTTTCTTCTTCCTACCTCCCAGCAAACCGGCCTCTGAGGTGATCAATGAATATTCCTGGAAGGTGGATTTTCTGAAGGGGATGCTGCAAGCCGAGAAGCTGGTGAGAAGGGGTGCCCCTCCCCCTCAGCCCCCATCACCGCTCACTTTCGTCCCCAGGACCTGCCCCTCCAGTGACTTCTCTTCCCACATTTCTGCAGACCTCCTCCTCAGAGAAAGCACTGGCCAACCAGTTCCTGGCCCCTGGCCGTGTGCCAACCACAGCCAGAGAGCGAGTGCCCGCCACAAAGACGGTGCATCTGCAGTCACGGGCGCGGTACACCAGCGAGATGCGGAGTGAGCTACTAGGCACGGTAGGGCTCCTTCCCTGGTCCCTGGGAACCCCTTGGACAGGGACGGGGGTTCTATGCCTGCAGGCAGCCGGAACCACAATACTGTCAGATACAGGGGCTCTGAGGGAGTCCAGCAATCGCTTCCCTGGGTCATCACACAAGGCCGCCCAACAGAGGGGCACTGTGGCTAAGGCTTTGCTAGATGAATAGCAAATTTGGTACAAGGCAAAAATGGAACATGTCTGGTTAAGCCCCAGAGTTGGCCCAAGAGCAGGGTTTGAGTCCTGGCTTGCAACTTACAAGACACGAAAGTTTCTTCAGCTATAAAAGAAGATGACAAGTTCCTTTCTGAGCACTTTATGTGGATCAGCTCAATCTTTTAAAATATGAGTTGTTGTGGCGGGGTGCGGCAGCTCACGCCTGTAATCCCAGCACTTTGGAGGCCAAGGCGGGCAGATCATTTGAGGTCGCGAGTTAGAGACCAGCCTGACCAACATGGAGAAACCCTGTCTTTACTAAAAATACAAAATTAGCTGGGCATGGTGGCGCATGCCTATAATCCCAGCTACTCAAGAGGCTGAGGCAGGAGAATCGCTTGAACCTGGGAGGCAGAAGTAGCGGTGAGCCAAGATTGAGCCATTGCACTCCAGCCTGGGCAATAAGAGCAAAACTCCATCTCAAAAAATATATATATATGAGTGGTTGTTACCAGTTTATAGTTGAGGAAACAGGCTCAGAGGTCATGGGATTTCCCCATGTCCTGACTGAAGGTGAAAAGGTTGAGATCAGAAGGGACAGGTTTGGGAACAAGACAAGGGGGGTGACTTCATGGCATTTACTTTTTTTTTTTTTTTTTGAGATGGAGATTCCCTCTTGTTGCCGAGGCTGGAGTGCAGTGGGGCGATCTCGGCTCACTGCAACCTCCGCCTCCTGGGTTCAAGAGATTCTTCTGCCTCAGTCTCCTGAGCCACTGGAATCACAGGCACCCCTACCACACCTGGCTAATTTTTTGTATTTTTAGTAGAGATGGGGTTTCATTACGTTGGCCAGGCTGGTCTCGAACTCCTGACCTCAGGTGACCTGCCCACCTCGGCCTCCCAAAGTGCTGGGAGTGAGCCACCGCGCCCAGTCTCATGCCACTTACTTCTTTCCACAGGACTCTGCAGGTGAGTCACCATGAACACAACAGGACTTGAGGGCCAGCTGCCTAGGACAAGACATACATCCTTGCTGCCCTGGGGCCTCCATGCCCAGCCTGACTCCAACAGCAGCATCACCAAATTACACGTGGAGGAAGAGCCAGGACAGAGGAAATGGCCCCGAGAGGAAACAGAGCTAGGCACTCCTGCCGGGCACAGTGGCTCACACCTGTAATCCCGGCAATTTGGGAGGCTGAGGCAGGTGGATCACCTGAGGTCAGGAGTTTGAGACCAACCTGGCCAACATGACCAAACCTTGTCTCTACTAAAAATACAGAACTTAGCCGGATGCAGTGCCGCCTGTCTGTAGTCCCAGCTCCTCAGGAGGCTGAGGCAGGAGACTTGCTTGAACCCAGGAGGTGGAGGTTGCAATGAGCTGAGATCACACCACTGCACTCCAGCCAGGGTGACACAGCAAGACTCCGTCTCAAAAAAAAAAAAAAGGAAAAAAATTAGCCAGGCATGGTGACACACACCTATAGTCCCAGCTATTTGGGGGGCTGAGGCAGGAGGATTGCTTGAGGCTGGGAGGGGGAGGTTGCAGTGAGCTGAGATCGCGCCAGTGCACTCCAGCGTGGTTGACAGAGAGAGACTCTATCTCAAAAATAAGCAAATAGATAAATTTGTTAAAGCTAGGCACGCCCAGCCTATGGGACCAAGGCTAGGCTGGAGGGAAGGACCTGGGGTCTGAGGGAACTGAGACAGGAGTAAGGAGACCCTCCTAGAAGAGGGGGTATTCAAGCATGGTCAGAAGCCAGCAGGGCAGCAGACAACATGAGGAAACAACATTCCAAACAGTAGGCCCAGCACAGGCAATGGTTAGGATGCCGGAAACAGGAAACCAACACTTGCCTTTTTGCTTGGCCTGTTTTGCTTTCAGAGCCTGAGATGGACGTAAGGAAGAGAACGTGAGTGTTTGCGGCCCTGGGGCAGTAGTGGCAATTGGGTGGTGCGGCAGGGACGGGGTGGCACTGGCCAAACCCTGGACCACTGAGGCACTACCACAAGGATCTAAACCAACCAGAAGCCACTTCTGTGGATGCTCTTCGCAGAAGTCAAAGTAGGCCAGACGCAGTGGCACACGCCCATGATCCCAACACTTTGGGAAACTGAGGCAGGCGGATCACCTGAGGCGAGGAGTTCAAGACCAGCCTGGCCAACATGGCAAAACCCTGTCTCTACTAAAAATACAAAAAATTAGCCGGGTATGGTGGCGGGCGCCTGTAGTCCCGGCTACTCGGGAGGCTGAGGCAGGGGAATCTCTTGAACCCGACAGGCGGAGGTTGCAGTGGGCCGAGATGGTGCCATTGCACTCCAGCCTGGGCAACAGAGTGAAACTCAGTCTCAAA